ATCAGAGTACTTTTTTACACCTCTTTGGTCTACTGTTATCTTGGCTTAAATTTTTATTTGGATCGTCGTTGCATTGATTTGTACTGTTGTTGTCGTTTATGGGTTCACAAGCAATGAAGTTTTCCTTACTTCCAGTAATATTGTCCCCATCATCAGACAGATCTTCGTCGTTGACCAGATGAAATAGTTTCATTTGCGAAGCGTGGGCGGTAGTCGTATAATTATGTTGCCTTCTTCTTCCTTGTCCAACTACGCGTAAATCAGTAACTTGATAAGTGTCGGATGGTAATATTTTGATGACTGTTAAAGGACCTCTGTACTTAACTTGGGTTTTAGTGTTAGATAAGGCAGTTTGTTCAGGTAATCGTCTTACGACCACAACGTCACCTATATTGTACTTAAATGCATCACATCGATGTTTGTCATAATTCCTTTTCATCTTTTCCTGTGCAATGATAATACGTTCCTGGGCATCTCTTTGCAGTTTTGTTGGATTTACGTAGTCATTTGATGTTGGTAGTAGATCTTGAGGAAAATATCCAGGCTTTACTGGCGTGTATCCATACAAGAGTTCAAAAGGAGGTTTTCCAGTCGACTTACTCGGAGACCAGTTAATACACCGTTGTACTTCTGGTAATATTTTATCCCAATCCTTGTGAGATTCCGTTTGGACATTGGAAGATATCATTGGAATAAGTATACGATTGATGCGTTCAACTTGTCCATTAGCTTGTGGTCTTTGACTGGAATTTAATGTATGCTTGATCCCTAATTGCTTACAATAGCCTTCAAACGCCGAGGACGTGAAGCAGCTCCCTCTGTCTGTAATGATTCGCCTCGGAGAACCAAAATCATCAATAAATTCATCGAGGTACTTCAAAACGCTTTTAGTTGAGCAACTAGGACATGGACGAAGGCGCGCAAACTTAGTCATATTGTCGACAAAAACCAAAAGCTCCTTGTTGCGAGCTGAACTTGTTACAAATGGGCCAAGAAAATCCATATGCACAACTTCAAATGGGCGACTACCAGGTGGAATGGCATTAAGTTTACCTTGAGCTTTTGTTATGTATTAATTTTTTATAAACAAAAAAAAACAACAAAAAAAAAATCGAGACATCACAAACCAGTAAATTGAATTGTTAAAACTATTTTTATTATATTTTTAATGTTTAATCTGTTTGTACAATTGGCTGGTGGCTGGGTCGCGTGTAAACGATTTTCCCCCTACAGGCAGTAAATAGCTGAGTAAGGGTGATGTAATGGTATGAGAGCCAATCAGAGCTTGCCAGAGGGCGCTGTTTTTCTCCCTCCTTTTTTTCGAATCTTCGACGCGGAGCGCGTTAGTCAGTCTCGTAAATTTTTTCTTAAAAGTAACACGTTATTTTAGGTAGTTGTTTTAGGGCTACTAGGCCCTGGATCCAGGGACCGGACGTCCGATAAGTATTTTTATTTTTTTCAAACTGGCGTATTAAATTAGTAATCTATATCAATTAACAATGTCGAACGTCTTTAATCAACAATGTTGAAAAGTATTATAATGTTAAATTAACTTAAATAGATACGTAAAATCTAATTACGCCGATAATCTTCAACCACGTGCGATTAATTAATATTTCTTTTTTTTTAAACCCAGCCCAATTTTTATAAGTTGTTAAATGTGAATTATTCTCCATGATGTATATTAAATTATTGTATCATTTTTAAATTTTATTTTGGGGATGTTGTACCAAAAATTTGAATTCCTAACACATCCTAATTAGTGTGTTAAGAAGAATGTTATTACATATTTTGTAGCCAAGATTTATGTTTTAATATATTATGTTTTTAAAAGTAATATTTGTCTTTAATTCTGACTATACCTCGTGCTAAATTCTTGGATAGGAATAAATTTAGTGCACGTGCAGTCTAGTGCCATGATTCTCTAAGATTATCTATAATCCTTTTTTAAATAACTAAATATTTCGTTAAATAATGCCAATTATCATTGCTAAAAATTAATTCCAGTCCAAATTGCTGTTTAGATTTGCAGATTAATATTGCTAACAAATTTTCGAGTCACATGGATGGCCTGCACGAGCACGTTGGAGAGATAGTAAATATTGAATTTAAATGTTAATTTTAAGGCATGAATATACCAATTAATTTAACATCACGTCAATTAATTTAGAATCACGTCGTAATTATTTGAATATTTTAGATACGTTATTTGATTTTTATTTTAAATTGTACACAACGCAAAAATGTATTTCAAACTCTATACGGTCTATTATATTATTTTTATTAAAGGACATTATAGGTTAAAATGATCCATGAAATTAAAAATAAATTATAACCACGTTTACGAACCTAACAGTATAAATTTTTTATAAATTATACCTGAACTACTTTTGTCAATACTGAATACTTATTTTTAAGTTATACCTGGTTTTACAGTAAAATTATTATAATAATAAATAATATAAGTTAAATTTAAGACGGAAAAATAAATATTAATAATTTTTATATTTAACACTGAATGAATAAATAACGTAATCTTAAGTATAACACATAAATAACAATCATCTTAAATATAACACTTTCCCACCTGGTACTTTTGTAAATGCACATACGACACACTGTCGTATATGCTGCTTGATATAACTTGCCATATGAGGAAACCAAAACTGTTGACATATCATTTGAATTACTTTCTCAACTCCAAAATGACCAGAAAAGTCGTGGAAACGAACAGCAAGATACTTTCTCATTGATTTTGGCATTACAAACAACTTTCGTGTCTTGTTTCTATCACCTGATTCATAATGGAGGCGATAAAGTATTCCGTTAATCAACTCGAAATTATCGGCTAGTTGTTTTTCTTCTAGTGATCTATTTGTCTTTATTTTTCTTAAGGAAAATACAATTTTTTGCAAATCTTGATCTTGAGCTTGTATGAGGGCTACCCTGTCTTCTTCAGTAGAGATGTAAAATACCGTAGGCTCTCTTGTTAGTTCTACAGGACTCGTAATGTCTATTTCATGCAATGGTGTGCAAATTCTTTCTTCGACTGGTGAACGACTAAGGGCATCTACATGAGCCATTTTAGTACCATCTCGGTGTTTAACATTATAATTAAATTCGCTCAACAGTTCAGTCCATCTCGCTACCTGGGGTTTAATGTTCTTTTGCGTATTCAAGTATGTTATTGCTGAACAATCGGTGACTAATGTAAATTGCAAACCCAACAACAAAGGACGAAGTCTAGTCATTGACCATACCGCAGCTATCAGTTCTAAACGACTTGAATGATACTTTTCTTCTTCAGGAGTTGTTCGGCGACTTACGGAATAAACTAACTGAAAAGCACTAGACTTATTTCGTTGCAAGAGCATTCCAGCTAATCCAACAGAGCTTGCATCAGTGTGTAATTCAGTTTCATCGCGTGGATCAAATAGTTTCAACACTGGTCTCGATACTAATTTAGAACGTAAGTTTTCAAAAGCATCATTTTGATCATCAGTCCATGTGAACGATGAATTTTTCTTTAGCATCCTTGTGAGGGGTTCAGCAATTGAAGCATATCGTGTTATAAATCGGCGAAAGAAACTTGTTAAGCCAAGAAAACGACGCAATTCATCTTTGGTCTTAGGAGCGGGGTATTCAGCAATGGCAGCAAGTTTTCTTGGACCTGGTCGTATTCCATTTTTATCAATTACAAATCCCAAATACTCAATATCTGACATTCCGAATTCACATTTAGATAGCTTCAGTGTTACCCCAGCTTTTAGCAACTTTTCAAGTACTTGTCGAAGCTTCACTATCATATCATCAAAGCCGATCGAACCAAAGAATATATCGTCAATATAACACGATACACCGTTCCAAAGCAAATCACCCAAAGCTAATGACATCGCTCGCTGAAAAACAGGTGGTCCATTCGATAAGCCAAAAAACAAACGTGTAGGCTCATAATGTCCATCAGGAGTTGTAAAAGCTGCCTTTCGTGAGGATTCTTCATCCATTGCTATCTGATTAAATCCTTGACATGCATCAAGGATGCAGAATAAACTAAAACCAGACAGTCTTTCAAGCAAATCATCGATGCAGGGTAATGGAAATTTATCCTTAATAGTTTGTGAATTTAAATGTCTGTAATCAATTACCATACGA